TGATTTCATTTTTCAGGTAAATATTGAGGAAGTTCAAATACAGTACTTAGATCACTAATGAAAATAATAAAGTTTGAGTTAGCTTGCTTTAAATTTAAAGTTTTCATTATTACCATCCTGTGTGAGTGCTAGGAATCAAGATTCGCTCTCAAGTTATCAAGAAGACACGCTATTATTGATTCATTGGATCTAAATACAGTGGCCCCTGATATACATTTGTCAATAGCTCTTCATATAAATGTATCATAATCTGGATTCATAAATCAGCATTTGGCTTCAAATGTGAAATGACTGGAACAGACAAGAGAAAAATACATATCACAAACAAAAGAAGGCTAATATAATATTACATAACCCAATGGTGTGAATTAAAAATCGGCTATCAGTTAAGTTATAAACATCAAGAAAATAAATGCAAAAAAGACAGCTGAGATAGATTGACTAGAGTGCCTTGATTAGGGTTATATGTTTTCTCGGCACTGCCTACGTGGCCAGACATTACCACAAAACGTGTCGGGCGACGGAGTCGAATTCCGCCTTCATGTCAATAAATATGACAAGTGTCGGACTCCGGTGAGTATGCCTATGCTCCAGAATCTGTCGAAGGCTGAAGACACGATCTATACACCCTCTTCCCACCTAAAGCTTGTCTGGCTGTCACGCGTTTGTTTCTCCAGAGCACCGCTCAGTCCACACAAGACTACTCAACCTAGAACTTCCGATACCATGTTAGTCAAGCTAATCTCCCTGTGGTTATCACAGGAAGGCTTGTCTCCCCTCTTATACACTCGGATAATCAGTCATTTACACCAGTCAAATAGGACTACCTCTGATTCCCAGACATTACCTAATATCTTAGTTAATCCAGGCCATAGTTTATGACCACCGTTCTTAAACACCTTGGAAGTCATTCCATCAGGTGTAGCGGCTTGACCTCATTTCAGATTAGAGACAGTCTTTGAAACCTCAGTTAAAGTTGGATGACTGGCATCTTCATCACACACAGGTGGGTTTCCGATGCTGGTCAAATTGAATTGCTCGTAAAAGTGTCTGCTTTAACCGGCCAGTCGTCTCTCTCATGAGGCCTAAGTGAAGGTTTGTTGTTCTCTGAAATCACTTCGCTTACCACTGACTTTTTACAAGCCATTTCTCTCATGACTCTGAATACTTGTCTGATATTACCTACCGCCGATGCATTTCCATTCTGACTGGCTTCATTCACCCACCACTGTTCACAGTCACTGAGTAGGCTTCTCGTCAGCCTGTATTCGATCAGCTCTCGCTCCTCGCCATGTTCGAAGCCCACCGGAATCAGTCTTCCTGTGTCTATCAGTTCGAATGAAGCAGCATGAGCCATATCACCAACAGTCTCCAGTCGTTGCTTCTTAGCATCTCGACGACCGCAACCAAGCAGTCTACACCTGCCTATGCGGTTCAAATCAACTGTCAAAGACTTCATGGATTGATGACAGGCTTTGGTCTGACCACCACTAACTCCTTTCCAACCCAACCCTACGTAAGCTAAGATTGCTCGACGAGGGAGCTGGCAACTCGTCATGAGCACCACGTGTCCTAGCCATCCCAATCCATGTAGCTTCACAATCTCATTGATTCACCTCCCCTCCTTACCTAGCAGTCCACGCCCAATCTCCATATTACTCACCATGTTATACCACTTAACACGGGAGATAGAAGGCGGACATCCGTGGTCAAAGACGGTTAGCCTCTTCAGGTCTTTCACATTCAACAGCCACGTATCAGAACGACAAACCATGAGAGGGTGAAATGATGCACAGTACACACGTCCTTCGGTCGATAGCCGGATATCACGTGAACACAAGAGATGACATGAGTTGGAAAATGCCACACGAGTCTTTTCTATCCGTGATGAGATCTCTTCAGTAATCGGTTGATTTCGGCTGATGCAACTTTGAAATAGGTGAAGTGGTTATCACTACTCCGTTCAATGTTGCTCGCTATTTCGGAGTATTATTTGATTTCATTATTATTTTTGGGTGTTTTATACACCTGTATTCTATGGTAGACTGATTCTTGTTGGTTTTGTTTTTGTATTAGGAATGTATCATGGGTTTTATTAAGAGTTTTATCGCTGTGTTTTGAGGGTCTAAAACTCACTCATTTTATTTTTCTTTCTTTTGTATGCTCATTGTCACTCTCTCTCATATCATATAAGTCTTGTTGGTGAATGGCCTCCAGCGTGCTTACCGGAGGCTTTGTCAGGACCTAGCCTGCATGAAGAAAGCAGTTGAGATTGAACCTGACAAACTATTCAGCTTCTATGAACATTACGATTTGCTCACTGATTCAGCAGCACATAGTTTACCCAACTGTTTCACATTTTAAATATCAAGCTACTCCTACAACTACGTACGTTGACGATTCTTCCAATGCAAAATCAAAATATGTAAAATTATAACTTCCCCTTATTGACTCACTTTGAATGATACCGATTAAGACACGTAATGTGCTCTTTTTGTAAGGTTTTCTAAAAATCGTTTCCACGCAGATAGGAACTTCAGTTTGGATAATCATAAGGATACCGTTTTTAAAATGCTACTCTGTATAACTTCTCAACGCTAATTTTCAATATAAAATCGCTGTCAAAGGAAATCGAAACCCCCAGCTAAACTGTGGTTAAACCACTGACTTTCCTTGAATTGGGCAAACAACGTTAATCTAAAATCCTTTTACTGGAAGCTTTAAGATAAATTTCAACATTTTCTGCGCACAAAGTATTTTTGTTCGTTTTTTTACACAACCACGACACAAATAATAATCATGAAGACAAGTGATCATCTTATGCTGAGGTCATAATATACGGACATTAGTTGACTGATATCTGCCTTTTAAGCACATCACACTCCAGCTCATAGTCGTGAATCTAGAAGTTCTGAACTAGAGTCAAACCTGACCGGATTGCTTATGTAGATTCCAACTTGAAATGTCTATACTCTCAGTGACGGCGCAGGACACATTTCATACTGTCAAAGCGATCTCCACGAATATGTTGGCTTAGATTTAGGACTTCTTCAGCAATTTAAGTAACTCAGTATGCAACAGTTTGCACATTTCAGTGTTTACTTAAACAGTAATCGAAGTAAAATAAGTAGAAAAAGGGATCTAATTTTGTATAGCATTCTGACTTCATCTTAATGCACATTTTAGGTTTGATAAGAGACAAGCCCTTATCACAGACAATTCTCAAATACAAAAGTAAATGAGGATTATTGGCTTAAAATTATAAGTTAATAAGCCTGAGTTGTTTGTAAAACATTATTCTGACACCTTAAAAAATTTTTTAAATTTACGAAACGAGCATGTATGGAAAATACGAGAATTGTGACAACAATGAACTGATTTTTAATGCACTTATTGTATTTTTGCGCACAGCCCTCATCGAAAATTTAATTCAGTGCAAATTTATTCTCCCTTAGCGGTTCAATAGTAAAATTTGTTGATAATTCATGAAACATGAAGATTTCTTGTTGCTTTAAATTAGTTAGAATCGGACACCCGATATGGAATTTGCATGCACCAACCTGTGTCACACATGTTGTGTACGAGCTGACTGACTGTACTACCAAATCTTCCAAGGTGAAATGGTTAGAGCAGGCTATACGACCAACAAGCCACAACGGTTGTGTTTAGGTTATTAAATGGCAACTGATACACGGTGTCCAAAGACAGGTTGATAGTAGTATAGTGGATAACGCTTTAATGTTTGAAACAATGGGTGGTAGATTCGATTCTCAATTGAAAAGTCATTATTCATCTGGATGCAAGTAATATTATTATTTCCTTTAGTTCCTAGAGGAACATAGGGCTTCAGCCATGCGTCTCCATTGCTTTCGGTTCTCTGCTACAGTTTTCACCTGGCTCCAAGTCTGCCCATACGCTTTCAATTCTTCTTCACATGATCTCCTCCAGGTCACCCTTGGACGACCAACTCGTCGCTTCCCTTTCAGGTTCCACTCGAGGGCATGTCTAGTGATGTCACTTGCTGGTTTCCTCAGAGTGTGGCCAATCCATCTCCATTTCTTCCTGCCTATTTGTTTCACAATCAATTCCTGCTGGGTTGGTTCGCTCCTAGAGATCCCTCACTATTGCTGATCTTTTCTGGCCATCTGATCTTGAGTATTGAGCGAAGACATCTGTTAATGAAGCTCTGTAGCTTGTTTGAGGTGCTCTTTGTGACACGCCAAGTCTCTGATCCGTATAGTAGTACTGACTTCACATTGGAGTTGAAAATCCGGATCTTATTTTTGATGCTGAATGCTGTTGACCTCCACACAGACTTGAGAGTAATGAAAGCTTGCCTTGCTTTCCCGATCCTTGCTTTGATATCCTCGTCAGTTCCACCTGTAGTTGAAACAATGCTTCCCAAGTAGGTAAAGGAGGTAGTTTCTTTCAGGTTCCTTCCATTTATGCTGATTGCTGTCTGTTGTTGTTGCTGTGGCTGTTGGTGTTGGCCAGGAATCTTCATCACCTCCGTTTTCTCTATGTTCACCTGGAGTCCTATCTTTGATGCTTCTTCTGCCAACTTGTTACTTTTCACTTGCATATCTTCCAGTTTGTGGGAAATTAGACATATATCATCGGCGAAGTCCAGATCCTCCAAGTTCTTTGTGTGAGTCCATTTTATGCCTGTTTCCTCATTGCCCGCTGTCTGTCGCATTATCCAATCTACTGCAATCAGGAAAATCATTGGCGATAGTAGGCCAATGAGGATGATGCAAGTATATCCACCCAAATTATCCAATATACACGTACTGAGTCTCATCGCTAGCCGCAACATATAAAAAAGTATGTCAAATACTAAATATCTACTGAGTAATTCTCCACTGATTCAATGAACCTTGAAATGATACAAGATTCACCTAATTAAATGCAATGAATGTTTTGTATCAACCTGTAAAATATTTGAATCATTTTGTAATAACGATGAATTGATTGAATATACAAAAAATAAGTCGAGATGAACTTGATGAATGAAGAAAACTTTTATTTTATAACACAAAATTCGTTGTGATGAAGGTTATAGGGTGACAATTCATATATGTGTAAGGGAAGCTGAATTAAACACCTAAGCTTCATTTGCGTTTTCTGATGCATTATTTCTTGATGAGAATTTAGGTGATTCAGAAGATTTAGACACTTGCAATTTTTGTTGGCTTTCATTCACCAGTTGTTCAATAGCACAATCTGTTGTATTTGAAACTTCACGAGAACCACGTGCCAGTCTTTCCAGTTCAGACTGAATATCTTTCTGAGACATGGATGATCTGTCTGAAATGAATCGATACAAATAGAACTCATTTAGTAAATCAAAAAAGGAAAATATTCTAGTAAAGTAAAATATTACATCAGATACATCATCTTAATGTGTACAGAAAATATTAGATTCACCTTCCAAGAAAAGGCATACAAACAAATCGATCGTGTTGCGATGGGGAGCCCTCTTAGGCCCCTGTTAGCAGATATATTCATGTCAAAAATGGAAAAACAAATGCAAGGTATGCTTGGAGAATTTATGCTGTATAAACGTTATGTAGATGATACTCTCATTATTGGTAATAATAGTAAATCTATTGAAAACTTTATTACCCTATTTAATCATATTCATCCAAATATCCGAGTGACTTCCGAACTCGAATCGAATAACAAACTCTGTTTTCCTTGATATTACAATGACCAGGAGAGATGATGGAACGATTCAGCGATCTATTTTTCGTAAACAGACATGCAGTGGACAATATCTTCTTTTCTTCGGATTTGTTCCTATCCAGTATAAACGTTCCCTAGTGAAATGTTTGTTCTCAAGGGCCCGAAAAATATGCAAGAGTGACACAGTGATGGATGAGTTTCGACATATACATTCAGTTTTATTAGCTAATGGTTATGCGGAAAACTTTATCACTTGTCGCAGTCAAGAAAGACAACATCTCGAAAAGACAGCTCCTGTACCAAAGAAAGCTTTTTTTATTAACCTACCATTCAAGGGTGACCAGATTATGCAGTTGACAACTCAAAGACTTCGGTCAGCCATCAAACGCACATTCTACGCCGCATCTCTTTTTCTCATTTGCCGAACATTTTCGATCCCGGTACCTACGATTAAAGGACGAAATTCTGTGGACTCTATTTCAAACTGCACCTACAAGTTCACCTGCAGCTGCGGTGACACCTATTTAGGTAGAACCAACAGAATGTTCCAATGTCGAAAGAAAGAACATGTTCCAAAATGGCTACTAAATCATACAGAAAATCCCAATGCGAGTAATCTGAATAGAAATCCAGCATCATCCATTGCAAAACACTTATTAATGTCAGGTAACAAAATCAATATTAATGACTGTTTCACAATTATTTCACATAACTCTAATTCAAGGTTACTGAAGGTGATGGAAGCACTTTGGATTAATCACATACAGCCTAAACTGTGTGTACAAAAAACAACAGACTTCAATCTTCGCCTACCCTGGACTACTTGACCTATCTAAATGTGATTGGTCATTAGTATGTACTTTTGTTTTTATTTAACTGAGTGATTGTCACGAACTTCATTTTATTACTGTTAGGCATGTTAGTTGTAAAGCGGTTGTAAGGCAACTACGAAATGATATCAACTCGAGGAATTTGTCTTCCAAATGCCTTATTCAAAGTAAAATTTGCCAGCAGGATTATTATTATTAAGACTAGCATATTTTTATTCTTAAAATCTTGAATCCGTGGAAATAATCAAAAATGATAAAATGTGTCTAATCGATTCTAGACTCCTTTAATATGCAATAAAACTTTAAAAATTAGTAGTAATTGCTTATGATATTGGTTAAAGCACATTACGACTCTCATCAATTAGGAGATCATCTACGAGTCGCTTGCATATGTTTAATAGCATATATCATGTAATAATTATGAATTTAATCTGAACAATACAAGGTCTCCTACCTATTGCCTCCAACCATCCAATAATACAAATAACTGTTTTCTTCTTCAACAAATAAGTAATTACGGAATATACACATTGGGTCATAGGAGTTAATAAAAAGACAATTGCAGCGAAGAAAATTTTCTTTCCGACGAAGTCATCATCTAGGCTGTACATTCGTGTATTTATATCAAATGGATAGGAAAGTTCCAGAATAATTTCCGGTTAGGGGTCAAATTAATAAAAAATTACAATTAGGAATTAAAATGACATAACAAACAGGAGGATGGGTAAAACTCAAACAAAGTAGCATAATAACTAAGAAGATTGACATTGTGCAATTGGGGGTTAGAAATGTAGAAATAACAAAATATACAGGATGTTTGGGTAAAAAACTAATATGATGAATAATTGTTTATGCAATCAGGGATTAAATATGTAGAAATAGTAAAATGACAAAATAAACAGGAAGAGTGGGTATGAAAATATGGTAGTGTAAACAGGGTTTAAGAAAACTTAAAATAACATGAATAAACAGGAAGTTTAGATAAGAAAGGCGACGAGATTGTCATTACTAAAAAATTTTGCCTGTTTATGATGGCCATGGTAGGGAGAGGGGTTGGACGTAATTCTTTTGGATAAGTAATTATTTAAATTGTATTCTTATGTTACGAGTTTTCTTTTTGTCAAATGAAAATCAAATATCAAGGCAACGCAGTCAAGAATAAGTAAATGAGCTTAACCTAAAGTAAAAATACTAAGACTATGTACAGCACATTTCGCAAAAGTAAAGATAACGATGTATCTTGACAGACCGGTAGTTTTTCGTCTTAGACGCTTACCCGTCTAGTGACTAAACAGAAATAGGCAGTGCAGTCGAAAAGTAATGTAATTCATTAGCGAAAATAAATTTGATGAAAAACTATACAACTTACCTAACGAACCTGAAGAGTTTAAAGAGATATTTGAACTGACACCAGTTCCACGTTTACTAAGCAAACTGTTAAAGAAGTTGGCTAGAACACCTTCAGATGCCCCAGTCCCTGTACCGGCAGTCGGTGTAGGTCCACCACCAGTTGTCACAGGCTACAGAAGACAAAATTGATGATAGGAGAAAACTAGAAAAGTATTAACTTAGTGATCCAGAATTACATTTAAGAGAAATAAAAGAATTCGATAAACAAAGTAGAAAATACTTTTAAAAAACTTCAAAGCATTTTAGCATGAGCTCTGGCACTCTTACTCATGTAATTTCTAGTGAACAAACGGAAATATTCCAAAAAAATATGAGTTATACGAAAAGATGAAGTTACTCATTTTTATCTCAAATTTGGTACGATTTGAAGTACTAAGAAATAAGCCACATAAAATGAAAAATGTAGGAGGGAAGTGATTTAGCGAAGATATGAAATTTCTAGCACAGGTGAACTGAACTGAATTTTCAACATACTACTTTGCAAGAAGGTGTAGCGATTCGAATTACCATTTATGTTCAAGGCAGCAGAGACGGCGTCCGAAGATGGCAGACTCAGACTTACTCAGACCACAAGCCATCCGACTACATAACTGTCCACACTGGATGCCAGCAATGTCGGAGATCGTGATGGCTGTGTAAAGACAAAGCAAGAGTATCCCCATCGAAGTGTTGTAAACCCCACCTTGGTTGGCTGGATTAAAGTCTCAACCGCACCACATGTGGTCCACAAGTGGCGTATATTGATTTGGCCTTCACAATACAAGTGAGAATTGCATCTGTTACCACTCCCTTAGTACTTACATACATAGATGTGTAAACTTTAAAGAAAAACAAGGTAAGTTGAACAGGTTGCATACCTTATGACAAATGACTATTGAGGATTTCTCTCAAACTTCTCATTTGCTAAGACCAGTGATGGACAACCAAGAAGTAGTAAGTCTACAACACTTACCCTATAGGCCAGCTAAATTGTCTTTCCAGTGATTTGTCCTGCCTTCCAGGCATCGTTTTAGGTTGTAGCGTAGCACACATCTTACAGACCGTCTCACTGACACTACAATTCTTCCTGCCCTTAGTTCGAATGAGCTGGAACAACTGATTACCCCGGATGCTACTACTGTCCATACTTAAGTCCTGATCACCTGACTTATTGGTCCTTACGCAAGCACCGTTTTATTTCATGCAAAAGAGCCTTAAATATGTTACATTACAGTTGCAGTAGCAGCTGTAACTTGACAAAGTCAACCTCTTTAAGAAAACATGTTACTATCATTTTGAAAGTACTTTATCGGTCACATTTAGAAGCAACAGTCATGAACAGAGAAGCTTTCAAAAGTTTTTGGTCAAGCCTGACAGACCTTTGTCAGATTCGCATCAATGTGTGAATGTTATAGGTGGCAAGTGTGAACAAGACAAACAGTATCATAACAGCCATGGTAAATATTGCAGTTCGGAACAGCTTCATAAAATCAGTTAATTAGCGAGCGGGATTTTAGGAAATAAAAACCACTTCGAAAGTAGAGATAATAAACTATATATTTTCTGTAGTTTGCTTTTTTTGTAAAAACTATATATTCATTTGAAGCCTGATTCACAAGTCAGTAGACAAAAATCAGATATCTTTCTATGCTTGCTAGGAACGCCCGGCTGGAACCTAATCAATCTGGGTGATACCTGGTCTTTTGAAGGTGACACGTAACACAATAAACACCTGTTGAATAAAGTGGTTTGAAAATATATCTGGTACATGATGAAATGGTGCTTATAGCTAGATAAGTCAAGAATTATTGAGTGTTTTTCATATTTCCATCTCTAGATTCTTTTTTTATAATCACTGTCCTAATTTACTTGGTTCTGTTCAATTGTTTGATGTTTGAAATTTCAACAGCCGATCATGAAAGGCATCTAACTGTATGCTTATCGATTAATTTGTTCATAGGATCAGTATTTATATATATCTACCACCCCGTTATTTCGTGGCCTTTGAAAAAGAGAACAATTTTCACTACGTATTTTTACTCTCTCGTTGACCGAAACGGATGGTCTCTTTTGGTCCATCAGCTTCACGTCAGTTGATATATAATGATTAGAGGTGGATTCTATGATTCACTTTTTGTTCTATTTGGTACTCTTCTTTGAGTGTACCTGTATTGATAATATCCTGCATTGCAATTGGAAACCGTTATTCTAAAGATCGTGTAGAAATATGTACCAAAATGAGAAACAAAAATTAAAGGTATCAACAAAGTATTCGTGCTAGGAACCAGGGACTAATCACTTAGGCTCAGTAAAAAACAACAATAAATTCGAAATCCTTAATACATAACAGTTGACACACACAAAAGCACTACACAAGGAATATCTCATATGACTCGATAGTCTAATAGATAACGAATTCGGGGAATTGGATTCTTTGTCCAAGATTTCTTGAGGACACCACTCGCTGAGGATGCCAGTACACCCAGTGATGAAGTCCAAATAGAACGAAGCGTGCATGTTAGACTCCAAGCTACCAAATATGAGCAACATTCAATTAACTACTGAATATCAGTTCGGTTTGAGGACTCCAGTAAAAACAACGTTAAGGGTCAAGCCAGTGAATATATATATATATATATATATGTATATATATATATATATAGAGAGAGAAAGAGTAATTGTCAAGATACATGCCGAAAATAGCACTCGATTTGATTATCCTCACTTGTGGTTTGATCCTAAAACGAAAAAAGACTTAGATGTCAAAATAAAGAAGAGGAAAGTAAATCCAAATGGACTAACGAGCAGGAATCATTTCACTCAATCTTAGTAACAATCGGCTTTGGGCAATCCTAAACACAATGGAAATCTATCTATGTATCTCCAACAACACAACAAAATTTACTAAGTTCTATATTAAACGCAATTCTACATGGCAGTTCGAATTTTCACGTACATAACTTGATAGTTAAAACGGTAAGAAAAAACAGGTGCTGCTATGATAAACTATGATACTGATGACGAAATTAATGTAAGTTCTCTTTTTTCGACGTCTTATCAACAAATTAATAGAAATGTCTGCTGTCTATAAGATTTCAACACGATACCCATCAGGATGCTGCCAATGAGCTATTCGTATTATGCATAAATACTTCTAAAGACAGATTATGTACAACAAATATCAAAGACCACACATTAATCAGAAGAAATCTAAGATTCTTACAACAAACCTAATTAAATGTTGAGATGAACAATGAACACATTGATAACTGTGACGTGCAGTTGAAAGAATAACAGAATATTTAATAAGGAAATTGAAAGCCTAATTGAAATACCTTTGTTCTGCTCGCAGATGTACGGGGTGATCCAGAAACTGATCGATTTCCAACAACTGCAGGTGAATTCAATAGAGCAGTCGGTGTTGATATTTGATCCGTAACAGAATCTGGACTACCAGGGACAGGTGAATTTGGTTGCGCGCCATCCCTTTGTAAATTTACCATGAGGCGTGTTAGAAATGTCTACAAAGGTCAGATGAAAAAAGAAACAAGAAAACAGCAAGGGTTCATTAGATAATCACGACTTTATACATACTATTTATCTTCACAGCGTGTAAATCCTAAGTGAAGAAATTCATACATTATAAAAATCCAGAATCACAGTTTGTGCTTCATTTATCCAATTTTTATAAATTTAACAGTATTAGTGATAGATACATCAAATATTACTGATAGTCAATGTACTATACGAGATATGTACAAATGAAAAAATGTGACGTCTTTATTTCGTTAAATTAACATTACTTACAAAGCAAAAATTGTCAACATTTCTCGATTCCAGTTCAATGGCATGAATTGAAACCTTAATATTAAAGCGGTTATTATACCCAATAAGTTGTCAGCACACAGGTCTACACTGTATTCAGTTTTAGTGAAAACAATAATAGTAGTAGTAATAATAATGCTTATTACTCTTGTACATACCTCACTTGGATCAGCCAAGCCACCAGAACGGTAATAGATTTGCTTCATTTGATAACAGCATACAGTGGCACGTTATCATTATTGTTTATTTATTTATTTACTGACGGAACAGTTTACTGCTTACAGTCATACCAGAGGACTCATAACTTTTTACTTCATTTATACAATTATGTTACCTGGAGTAGATTGGCACGGATATGTAGGTGAAACATGATTTTTTTTCAAGTTCGATCACGGATTGATGTCAGTTGGAGAACCATTGACATTTCATCTTAATGTGGGACTCTTCATCAATAGGCACCCCCGGGAATCGAACCCAGGATCTTTAGGCCAAGCTTGTTGATTATTGCCTATGAATTCCAACTTCTGTGAATCAACGACTTTCATGAATTTACCAACAGCGAATGACAGAAAAAGTATGATGACAAAATTACCCTAGCAGCCTAATTGTCAAATGTAAACTTCCACGCATCAACTATTGAATGGAAAGCATACTCAAGCAAATAGAAGAATAAGAAGAATGACTTGATCATACAGAAGATGAGGATGGTTTGATAGTTGACGGTGAGAAATTTTACAGTGAAGGCCACAGCCTATTGCGGGAAAATACCTCCACAAGCGCTGAAGCGGGAATAAAAGTAGGCAAATAACCGTTTTATACAGTTTTCACATCGAAATTTCAGTTGTAATATGACAAGTGGATGTGAAGTCAGTAATAACATTAGTTTTATTCACTGCACATTCTAAAAAGCAGTTACGACAGAAATCATTGAGACGTGAAAGCTCACACTAAAACACAATCATATCTGAAAATGTTTTTAATCAAAATTGAGTATAAATAATTCCATTATGGATAAAATTTTATTTTGATAAAGTAACACAATGTCATGCAGTAAATATAAAAATAAAATTTCACCCATAATCGAATTATACTCTAACACAATGCTCAAGTTTTATCCTTATATCAATAAGTACGAATAAATCATCTAATTTACCTGATCATCTTGGATAGCCACTTCCAATTCACGAACGGCTGTATCTTTTTGTGGCTGTGGTATTACGTCAGAATAAAGACTAAGAGGTTTAATTTCAGTAAGATTTTCTTGCAAAATTCCAATCTTTTTTCCATTATCCCATCCAGCTGGACTGCAAATTACGTAAAAGATATCTGTAAATATGGGACTTACACAAAAATGCAATCCCTTTCAACGACATAAGCTGTTTGAGTGAAAGGAAAGCCATATATACGACTTTGAAGATAACGATTTAGTAAATCACAATTCTTATCATCTTTCACTGACACGTAAAACAAAGCTGCTCCATCTGTTGGAAACAAAACCAAATCATATAGAACATTTTAGGAATTCATTGGTCACAGCAGAACAATTTTAATATTAATTACATAGAATGAAATGATGATAGGCAAACTGAGAAACTGATAGTAAATAACTTTTAAGCCCACGAACTATAGAGAGGTAAGCGGTTGTCTTGCATTCATGAATAAGAAATTATTGACTATTCGGTCTCCGCTTCTACTGACTAACGGTAAAACTATTAGCGTCCACCACATCTTCATGCACTACTTGAGTGTCAGATCAACGGGACATTATTTTGTTATATTTATTAGAAGTTGTATCCGGTGTGGAAATTGAATCATATGTGTGAATGCATAAAAAAATAATAGTAGTATGAAATGCAATTAAAATATTTGTGATAATAATCATGGTTAAATGTCAAGTGGCAAAACAATTAATCCCATATATAGAATAATTTATAGGACGTATAGAACTTGGAAGGGGTGTTCATTTATAGGATTAGTAGACAAATCGAATACAATAAAAGCGTTACGTAATATTGTGTGAAATTTGATAACATAGAATTTAACGTTGCAAAACAGAAGTGACTTAGAATGATAAGTGGAACAAGTGAAATAATACCAGGGACAGTTCAAAGTGAGAATAGTAATAGTAACAATTGACGTAATAAAGGAAGAGTATACAAATTTCACTTGTTCCACTTGTCATTCTAAATCAATTCTAGTGTCGGTTTGTAGGGATTTGATTGATTGGTTACAGGATTTCATCATGAGCTGACATTGGTTAGAGAACCATTGGAAAACCTGGGAGTACTGAACAGCTGTTTTACCCTACTTTGGAACGGTGGGTGCGTAGTGAAGAGTCCCAAACTAGGACGAAACAGCTGTTCAGTAGTCCCAGGTTTTCCAAAGGTTCTCTAACCAATGTCAGCTCATGATGAAATCCTGTAACCAATGAATCAATTCAGTTTTACAACGTTAAATTCTATGCTATCAAATTTCACACAATGTTACGTAACGTTTTTATTGTATTCTATCTGCCTACTAATCTTATAATTGCACACCCCTTCCAAGTTCTATACATCCTTTGAATTATTCTACATATGACATTAACCATTTTGCCACTTGATATTTATTAGAGTCTAAACGTGATAAAAAATGGATGGCGAGGAATTTATCGAACAAACAACAAACAGGAAATGACAGAAGCAAAGTAGGCACTCTGAAATAGTCCATTTATGACACCATTAGTTGCTAAGTGAAAGAGTAGAATTTGGGCGCTATTTTAATTATTATTTCCTTAGGTTTTGAGAGGAACACAGGACTTTAAAAGCGCAGCCTCATCAGTTTAAGAAAGAACGACCCACATCCCTACATTACGTAACGTGTTACCAACAAGACGGCTAGGTGTATGAGCGAAACTACGGAGAATTAAAACGGTTATAATAATAGAAATAATAATGGTACTAATATCGGTGATAACAAAAGTACAAGTAGTTGATTCAGGTGGCAATAACAAGAATGAAGACAGACAATGTCAACATTTTAGTAATTAAATAAGATCAAAACCTTACGAAATTAGAATTTGTAAAACTGTCTGTCTGTCTAGATTCAACATAGAACTTGGCACCAAAGTGCAGCAGTTCGAGTTGCCACGTTCCAAATAGCACACAAAGGTAGACAAGAAAATGAGTGAAGAGAATTAATAGAGTTTTGACAAGTATAAGAGTGAAACAGAATGAGTAATGGTAGAAAGGAATATGAAAGTTTACAGAGACTGAATACATCTGCGCCATTGAAAACGATTAGAGAATTTGTAAAACACTGAAAATGAAGTGAATAGTTATTCAGAATCTAAGTAAATAAATAAATTTATCAAAAGGGTAAAAAGTTTTAATTAGTGTATTAGACTTACCTGGGCCAAGGAAAAGAAAAAGGTAGAACAAAATTCTTTTGAATGCGAAGACTGCGATTATTCCCCCGACTTCCTGCAGCTTCGGCAATGTGTAAATGATGAGTTCGAAAGGTTTGACAGAATGCAATAGATAAGCATGAAAGCGCTTCTTCTATCCATTTGGTGGTGATTAACAACTAATTAAATGAAACAAAATCGAGCTCCTCATAGATTGTGTTAGACCCTTTCCAAACCATACAAAAAGGTGCTTAGTATTGCGTCCACTGGGTTACCCTATATGGCTTCTTTCAAAGGAGCAGCTAAATTTGTAAATGCACATAGAAGCGACACATTTAGACAACCTATTTTTCGCCTAAGCAATAATAACTGGTAGGCTGGAAATGTTCAAAACAGGGTAGCAGAAGTCTTTGGCATAGAACTTCACCGGTCACGTCTCCACCGAATTCGAGACTGAGGAAGATGTAATTGAAAACATTACTGTTCGCTTGTTTGTTTCAATTTTAGTAACGGGAATATTTAGTAACTTAAGTTATCAACGACTCTTCTGTTTAAGGCAGTATATGTGAAAGTGATAAAAAGTACCGTGAAGTAGTTAAGGTAAGTAGGAAATCCTTCAAAAACGATGAAATAAATTTCTACGACAAAGTTTTCGGTGGACTTAAACTGCGAACTACCATAAATCTCGAATTTCAATCCAGCTGTGAGGAAACACCATTAACAAAAAGCAGTCAATTAAAATGAAACATAAAAGCAGTGATAGTAACAACCACCAAGAACCATGTAAATGAGTACTTACAAGATAAACAAAAGCGACGAACATGCATCTGAATAAAGTCAAAGTATTCTTCCGTAAATTTGTGTTGTTTTTCCAAATTGTTCATAGTGTCAGCCTAGAAAAATTAAAATGAAGTAAGAAAAAAGTGACAACTTTACAGAAATTCTTATACTGATTTTTCTCAATTTGTACGACGATACTCTGTGAAATGACTGTCTATAAGTGTTGAAAAGTACTGCACGAAAGTAACAAAATATCACTGCTTTTGATGGTATAAATGCATAAACATGAACACGAGCAAAATAAGTTGCATTATATCAATCTAGATGATAATATTTTTTAGGGTCTTGTAGTGAACTCCGACAGATGTATCCTTTCGTATTTGAGACTTATCAGGTGTATGTTTATACACCGCACTTAATATGTTTTTCTTTTACGCGTGCGACCACTGCCTTAAACACTGGTGTCTTACTGCCACCACAGAATAACTAAACATTATTGAAACCACTTTGCTGTTATTTTTAAAATAAATTGTCCAAACTACAAAGGTACACCATTGTCTACCACGAAAGCTTCAATATTTTCTGAGTCCGACTGTGGTTCACCAAATAATATTAGCATATTCGTAGAGGAAAGACAGAAATATCTGCAACAGAAACCAACTTGCAAACACTGATTTACGCTTGTTATCGACAAAATAAAATATAATAAAATACATACACTCACCTTTGTTATAACTACAACTATTGGAATACCCAAGTTGTTACACAAAGTATTCTCATTAGAATTTGACTCTGAAGAAGTTTCAACACACTCCACTGCAGATTCCGAATTTTTATCAGGTACTTCGCGCAAAGTATTTGAGATCAAAGCAACTGTTGCAGGATGTACTCGAGTTAGTTTTCTCGCTGTGTCAGCTGGCTTCGTATCAGAGTGTTCAATTTTAGACATGGAAATAGAGGAAACATGACTTTTCTTGGCTAGTACGTCTGGCTCCAGGTAACCACGGAAATGGCGCAAAACTACAAGCACAATCAAAAAATCACTATTTGAATTCTCACACAGTGAATAGAAATGACTGGTTTTAACATAAAAGTTTGCACTGATGCGCAGGAAGTTCGAGTAGCCACACTCCATGTAGCACACACAGCAAAAAAAGAGAGTAAAGAGACATTCAGATAAAAATATGAATAGAAATATGCATTTATTACTGTTTCAATATTATACGAAAGAAATGTCTGACACTTCTCAACCCGCTGACCGATGATTCAATGTAGAAATTCACGCAAATTTGTTACATGATTTAAATAAAAGTACAATATAGGTGAACAAAAAATTAACAATGCTAAAAAATGGGTGATGAACAGAATAACGGCACTAAGAACAGTGACACCTTTCATCCCAACCGACATATGTTACCTTGACGTGGTCGGGGTTGCATATTGCAGTGACCCAACCAGCTACACTGGCCGACGGTAAGTTACTAAGACAGAAACAAACCTAAAAACCAGTTCAAACAGGAAGTGTGTGACCGGCTTCACGCAATTGTTCCCTAGGCTCTGCGGTCAAGCAACACTTATTCTCTCTCTGTTTCAGGTACCCCCAAAAAAATCAACTTCTACAGTGTGAACAGCCGAAAAGTAGCAATCGCTCACACACTTCCAGAATTACACGAAGGCCTCCTGATCAACACCCACCTTTACCTACGTCACCGTGATTTTGCTTTCCTCCTACCATTAAAACTATTCCACAGGGTAGTCCCCTACCTCCATTTTCACTGTGACCAGTTATAGAGACGAGAGCCAGAAAAACACTACCACCAGTCTCTTAAAACGATGCCGCCAACTTTACAATGGCACATTTAACACCAGAACCCTCTGCAGAATTGGACTACAGGCATCACTAGGCAGGAATGCAGTATCCAAAGTCATTGATATATGTTGTGTTTCGGACACAAGCATACAAGGCCTGAGTGCGGTAATTCACTTAACCCCACTCAGTCATGGTGAATCTGCAAAATTCACCTTAAGGGTGTCAAGAGACTCCTCAGCTAATTCGCAAGGATTGGCAAGTGTAGGGGTAGCACTGAGCGTGTGCGTGCGGTCCGTCTGAATGGGTCTGCTAGAAGAAAGAAAGACGGTGTTACCAGTCGTTATCTTATCATAGTCTTCTCTTACGCTCTAACTGCCTGCAGTTCGGATGAACTCATGGATGATTTCTACCAAAAAGTGTCAAGTTTACTGCAAAACGCTCAGGTATAGTTGTTATAGCAGGAAATTGCAATGCCCGAGTAGGGAAGTCATGCCAAACTAAGAGGTATATAGTCGGTACCTGTAGACGAATCGACAACAGTGATCGTATTCTACAGTTCTGTTCAGATAATTATCTGCTCCTAGTCATCACTAACTTGAAGCACAAAGAGACACTGCGTAACCTGGTGACCTCCATCACCAAGTCAACGCTGGACTCAGATAGACCACAGAGCCATAGGATATCCTTGGCGAGGTTCAGTAGAAGACTGCCGCTCCTGCTAGAAAACGTGCGTAGACTCCGATCACGCTCTGGTTCGCGCATATTTGCGCTTACGATTAAACGGACATAAGAAATTGACGGCAGCGAAACAGTTACGTCCCCTACTAGATCGAGACATTGAGTCCCTTTTTAGGGAAGAAATAGCGAAACGAGTGTCTGAGGTCGACAGCAGGACTTCCCCTGAGGTAGCCTGGCACAACATACGGTTGGCTGTACACACAGCTGTAATAGCTGTTAATAACCTAAAACCAAAAGTTAGTAAAAGCCATTGGATCTCTACCGCCTCATCCAAACTGATTGACGCAAGAAGACTGATTCTGACGAGCTCCATTTATGATGAGGAGCGAAAGCTGCTCAAACGCAAACTAACAAGTCTTCGTAACGACCGTGAACAGTGGTAGGCGACAAAAGCGAGAGATGGAAAAGGCATCGGTGATTGGTAATACCAGACAACTATTTAGGCTTATCAGGGAAACAGGTGGAATAATGCAAATGATGAGTGAAACAATCTCTGAGAAAAATGACACCATAATTAGCTCTCAAAATATACGACTGGAATGTTGGAAAGAAGACTATGAGGGGCAATTTAACTGGCCTACAGCCACGCTTAGCTTACCCAGCATCCAACACCTCACTAGTTTATAACGAGGCAAAGCAGCGGGACTTGATCGAATGACTCCAGACGTGTTTCAGGACAGTGGAGACAGTTTACTGTCTGAGTTAACCAAGGTATTAGGCAGTACCTGGAAATCAGAGATAGTCCCGTCGGGATGGTGTAAGTCATTGATTACCCCAATATACAAGAAGGGAGACAAGCCTTTCTGTGATAATCACAGGGAGACTAGCTTGACTAACATGGCTCAATAATCATGCGTAGACTAAGTGGTGCTCGAGAGAAACAAACACGAGAAAATCAGGCAGGCTGTAGACCAGGAAGTATAAGTCATATCTTCACCCTTCGACTATATCGACTCCTAGCTTTAAGATAGAGATTGAAGGGGTAGAGCGTGTTGAAAACTTCATTTATTTAGAAAGGCTAGCTGTCTTTGATCACAGATGTCTGCGTTCTACCTCACGTGTTAAGTGGTATAATAAGGTGAGCGATATTGAGGTTAGGCTTCCGTCGAGTGCTAGGTAAGGGAGGGAAATCAATCGACAAGGTTGTGAAGATACACCGACTGAGATGGTTACGACATGTTACGCATGCCTAGCCATCGCTTTCCTCGACAAACGGCAATGTTAGCTGACATAGGGTCAGGTTGGAAAGAGTCAGTGGTGGTCAAAACAAGAAGTGGCATCAGTCAATGAAATCGATAACAGTTAGTTTAAACCAGTTACGTAGGGAGGTGTAGGCTTCTTGATTGGGGTCCTCGGGGTTGTAAGAATCAAAGACTGGAAACAACTAATTTTGAGCAATACCATCAACAGTATCAATCCATTGAATCTACGTGTTTCAAAGATTCTAACCAGGTTATGTACATCCCCCTTACATGGCTCAAACCAAGTGGCACACTTCATGGACTGACGCCAGGTTTTGTTTCGATGACTAGCAATTTATCTTTAATTTTCATACACTATTTAGTACCTTAGTTTATTAATAATTGGTGACCATATCTTAAAACGTTTTGCATCTAAAGCCTTTGGTCCTGCTGTTTTGCCTTATTTTTATTTAGAGATTTTAGCTCCAATCAAAGGTGGTGAATCGAAATCCATGTCTCAATTAGGCTGGAGACGTATAGTTATCTAATGTAGCACAGCCATAAACCAGCTGAACTGATTTTTACTCTTTCAGTTGTCTCTCCACAAACTATCGAAATTCTAGCCCTCTTGGAAATCGCTTACCACAGCATTTCAAGAGCGACTTGGTATAGGTAACCAGAGGTGAAATGTCAATAAACTAGTGATATACAATAACCGCATTATCAGACAAAACTTACCTTTTATAGTTGCTCATCATTATAAAAATCATGATCATTTTCAGAAACAAGACTGATTGATGTACGAATGAGACCAAAAAAATGTAATAAGCCTAAAACTATGCTCATTTGCTAACTTCTAGTAATTATGGCTCATAAACAGTAACAATATACATAACGCGGTTATAAACTCTCTGAGTAAACTCAGTTTTACGAGAGGTGTAAGCACCACATCGAGAAAATTAGCTGCTGATAGGCGTTAAAAATTCACAAAACTCAATACATTTTACACCAATGCTAACTTCCACACTATCTGTAGAGTTTACGTACGAATACGGTTAGTGCAAAATACAAATAAATCAATAAATACAGCTGAAAAATTGTGTGGAATCTACCATGTGTGATTGCGACAGAACAAATTTTGAGCTACCATTTGACGAAAGCTACATCCTTGTTATCAATAAAATCCACCTATCACCACTTTACAAACTTGGATTTCATGTTACCCACATACGACTAAACAGATATCTTTTCACCAGGTTTAGGGAGGAATCAATGTATAGAGCACACCTATAATCACCTTTCGCTTTTCTTATTGGTGTGTACACGCAATGACTGATTAGTTGCCAGGGATCGACGTATAGGAAGTGACTAGGTGATAGGAATCAGGTTTTGCAAACAACCTGTAAGTCCTAAAAGCATGTAAGTGAAGGTGGCTGTTAGTGATTGAATAACGTCATTAAACTCCCGAAAGGAAATTTAGGAATACCTTCAAGTGTCAACGTCTCATAATACACCCAGGTTGCAATTTAGTGCTACTTGCGCAGTCATTATTACAAGCTCAAACTGACCACAACGAATATGCTGCAGCTATAATATGAAACGAATTCGCTGTCAACTTGGTAGTGGGCGTATCATTCGCCAGTCAACGCTAAGGAACTTAACACCAAATACTAGAATACTAACTTGACTAAGCTGCCGTAATCCTGACCACGATAACCTTGCGAAACTTCATGCAGAACAAGTTAGCTTTTATGTGGAAAGTGTAGTTAAACTGATTGTCTGAAAGTTGAGTGGTACACAAAGACAATAATGGAAGCATCCGAGTTACCCACCTCCGTCGAAAACGCAAATATACAGATCTTTGTTTTTCTCTTACACATTATGAAATAAGAATTACACTAATATAGCTTCCTACATCTAACAGTATATATGACAGTCACAAAGGTATGAATCGTCAGCAACACATCCTTAAGCTATACACTCGCGCGTGCGCATCTGAAAACGAAAGAAACATTTAAGTCCCTTGTGTAAACAAGCCAATGCATTCCACAATATATTCCTTATTTCAAGTTAGTGATTCATGCATCAAGTACGTCCAACTAAGACTAACACCAGCCTTGAGAGAATATATCATACTAAATGTGGGAAAGACTAACCGTTATCCTTGCACTTTTGAAGCTTCTGCTCTGGAATCTTCAGCTGGTCGATAAGCTTTCTGAGAACAGTGACCCACTCTTCAAGACTGTTCATTATCTTCCACGGTTCCGCCATGCTCACACATATCATAGCGAAACAATCCCCGAAAGATTCTGCATCAACTGCAAATTTAAAAAGTTGGTTGTGAACAGCATGGCTATCCAATAACCATACTTTTAATTCCGTCTGATCTAAATTTAGTAAAATATCTAAAGGAATCTAATTCATACCATCCCTCTCTTCATCCTTGATATCTAACACAGTGAAGTACAGTCCATATCCCTTTTTCTGATCATGAGTCCCTTGTAGTCGGGCAATAAGAGTGCTTTTTCCGCACTCCTCATCTCCCAAAACAATGAGCGTTTTGGAACGTGATAGCGCCACTGCAGCTTTATGAGTAGCTTCATCAAGAAGACTAGACCTGCAAAGTATTAGAGGGAAACACATAAACGAACCAAATGTGCTTATTTCCGTAATCTACACAATCACCATCACACAAAATACTCGATTGCAACATCATAGTCCCTGTCTACAGAGGACGGCAGCACAAAGACAGAGGATAGCGGCACAAATGGCTTACGGAGAGGCTGAGCACTTGAAGGTCACTTACGCACACTGTGATTGGTAGACTTTCCTTTGCGTAAACGTTGCGGCTAATACGTGTCGTACGTTACTGAGGCGGGCTTTGAAATAACAACAATAAAAGCGAATAGACATTATATTTTTTAGCCGAAGGGAACAAGTTAACATGTGTATAAGTTTCACAGATGTAATAAGCATTTGATCCACTCACGAGGAGAATATTCCTGGCTAACTTAATCAAAGAAGTATAAAGTTTGAAGATTTTATCTCTTTCAGTTGGTTGTAATGGATAGATAAGAGTCACTTGTATAATATTTGCTTTTTACAGAAGAGAAAATGTGACAGGTGATTTGGAAGTTACACAATTCCTGAAATCTATCGTGGAATATATAGAAGACTAATCTATGGAATTTCTCCAACTCTGTGATTGTTCCCTCCCTAGTTCACATATTCAGTGTAGCTAAGATAAGGAATTGTTCACCAGAGGTAAGATAAATTTATCTGATATGTATCCATCCTCAGATATTTCTCAATACGGTCGAAGGAACACAATGTCAATCTTAGCTTGAAAAGTTCTCATCCAGTTTCTCCGAACGGACCTGGTGGTGACGAAAACTGCAGACTGGTCGAACATCACTACCAACGGGTACAAACTGATACAGATGTTGCGGACAGAGTGTTTGGTGAACTTATGATGACTAGTCACCATAGCTATGATGCAGCTATAAAAACTCTACAACTGTGATTTTTTTCACTGGATTGTTATTCACTCTTTTTAGTGTAGATATGTACTCTTTGATTCTGATTTATTTTTAACTTCATTGATTGTTGTTTCCTTGCAAATATATGCATTTATGTCGACTAACTTTGTCTCTTTTACCTATCATGTTGAGGACATTGCAGAGTTAACGAGAATGAAAGGCAACGTAGTAATACTTATGTGAAATGCGTCAGTCTTAAACTGTTATTATTTCCTCAATGCGTCATTAAGCCTTACGTAAAGTGTTTCAGTTACGTTTAGCCCGGTTGCGTATAATATTATTATTCACGATTGTTAAGAAAGTGGCCGTAAAAAATATGTTCGTACTGTGATAACGAAACATAACCTAGCAAACGTAGGTTCTATACGTACACGACTTGTATTGGTAGTCTAGGCACTTCAAGTACACTCTGCAACGCACATCCTATTTATCACAAATAGTCTGTTATTCTTATGTTGCGTTTAACACCAGTATCTCAAAGGAAATCATTAGGTAATAAAGAGATAACTACATTATTCTTCTTGTGTTATCATTTCCTATCAATAAGCTCTTACATGATCACATCAACGCTTAGACTCGTGCATTAGTTGACTACGTCACTAAACTTCATTGATTATTTCGTTATCATAAAATACGGTAACACATTAGATAGGCTTTTGTTGTGCATATCGCCTGTTTAAGGTTTCCTAGCGAAAGCAATTACTCAAAAGCAATAGCAGTACCCCATCGTGACCAAATTCAACCACGTGTAAATATGACATTTTACGAATATTACGTCTTCTACACTGGCATCACTTCGCTACTCCACAAGCAGTAAGTATTAATAGTGTATGAATGGAGTGAAAAATTTTCAAAACAATATTTATTTCGATAAATACATTCGTAATATCACAAATATTTCATTATTTACACAAATATTATCCTTTTTAATCCCATTAGAATGTCTAAATGTATTGAGTGATTGAGGAAGTAAAGACCATAATCTGGAAATTAAAGATGATAAAAATTTAGTGAGAAAATGGTGAGTTATATAAATAACTTAAAACATAGTACCTACCAGTTAAACGACTGCCTCTTCACCGTTATCTGACGAAATAAGCAACTCAGTTTCCTTTCTTACTGTGAGATTTGGTAAAGATCATGAAATCATACCTACCTCGATATTTAAACATCTCCTCATCATTTAAGTAAAATACACTAAAAAATTGGAATTATTTAGCATTTTCTATCATAATTGACATTTTCCGACGAATTCTGACATTTCTTATGCGCCTCAGCATGTCAATTCGATGAAAGGACAGCATCTTTAAACACACTGAAAACGACCGTTATTCTCAAGTTTTACACGATTTTTCGTTAAAATACGGTATGTAAACCGTATTTCTGTCGAAAAAACCACTAAAAACAACGCAGAATAGCCCAAACACAACACCACGATAACACCTTACAAACTGCAGCAATCAGCTGATTTGTGCCGCTATCCTCTGCCGCAGCACAAATGGCTTACGGAGAGGCTGAGCACTTGAAGGTCATTCATTCACGTTGTGATTGGTAGATTTCCCTTTACATAAATGTTGCAGCTAATACATCGTGTACGTTATTGAGGCAGGCTTTGAAATTGCAATAATAAAATCAGATAGACTTTATATTTTTCAGCTTAAGGGAACAATTAAATATATGAATAAATTTCAAAAAAGTTCAACAATAGAGTCCCAAGGTTGTAAATGTTCCAATATCCTTGTGAATGTTCCAATGACCTTGAACGCACGCTAGTTATTGGTTTAGGAAGTTACCATCATTCTACCGCGAAGATGGCAATTCCACCCAGATCACGTATTTCAGTACTGTCTGGAACCTGCAATCGTATTCACAGGTCATAGATGGATATGTCTTTAGGTGTACACATTGCAGGAAACGAATAAGCGTTCGTAATGGTAAGTGACAGTCTCAGTTAATTGTTTTCTAGGGACTTTCTTTGAAAAATCGAGACTCCCTTTGAAGAAAATCCTGTTCATGTGCAATTATTGGGTTTTAAAATCCGGAGTGAGGTCAACAGCCACCCAGACAGAAAATACTCTTACATCTACTGTTCAATGGTTTCAGTTTTGTAGAGATTTAGCGTCATGGAAGATGAAGGCAGAAATTAAACGCCATGTACAAGGTCATTGATGGAGTGAGACGCTCAAAGGTCATTTTCGTCCATGTTAATCGGCCATGTTGGACTGCAGTTCTGAAGCTGTTCGTTTACATATCGATTTTTCCGTTTATCCAGCACTTATTCACCACGTATCTTGATGCACATTGTTTACAAATGTTGCGTTTCACTTCATTATTGTTTCCGTTTCTGTTAAAATTAGTCATTTCGTCTGTTTCGAAAGTTTTTACCAGCAGGTCAGTGCATTCATTTCATTGTAATTGTTTCATACGTTGCATTCATGCATGGTTTCAGGTTTTTAGTTGTTTTTCCGCTAATAATGAACTAGTGCTGTCTAGAAGTTTTGGAAATTATGCGCATGAGCATGTTTGGGTGGCGGAAGCAGATGTTTCCGTTTCATTTTTGGTTGCCGTTGTTGTTACTAGCTCAGTTGCTTACTTAACATGTAGAAATGTGGAAAAAACAATGTCTGTCACATTCATGTTTACAGCATGCAGCAATATACGAGTCAATCTGATGAGGAAAATACAATCAGAGTTGATATTAGCAAAGTTTTCGAGGAACTAATTAAACCCAGAGAATTTAGAACCTGGTTTGAAGTTTAAAAAGCTTCGAAGCTTTCGACAAGGTGTATGTTGTCAGCTAAAAAATCAGGTATATTGTGAGAGAATCAAAATCAAGCAAGGATGAACCAAATCTGAAGCATGAATGTGTGGTGTTTGTATGTACTTTTGGAAGCAAAATTAGGAAGCAATAGGAAATCCCTAAATGATTGTTAATGAACTAGATCCAAACGCACGAAATAGGACTGCCTGTAGTAAACGCGGTGTTAACAACCATTTTATTTGTTTCAAAACGATTTGAAAAGCGGATAACGTACGATGATCTGGTGAGTGTTCGGTAAGAATTTAACTAGCAAGAATAACGTTTCGGATTCTGGTCTACAATCGGTGGTTTCTTCGAATTTACAAACGTCTGAGAAGCTGATTATTAATCGGGGTGAAAAAATTGGCTGGTTACAAATTGCTTGTTTCAGTTCAAATAATGAAATTCCTATTTTTCGGATGCTTGTGATTTCTCCGTGGTTATAAACATGGTTGCCCATGATGTATAAGAAAACTTTGAATAAATTTTCCTTGAATCAGTGGTCTTCTTTTTCTTGGCGAAGCATCTATTGAGACGATTAGGTAGCAAAGTAGAATGTTCTGTGGTTGAGAATCGTAGTCGTTGAGTTTCGGATTTATATCGCGCATCTAATTGCTATAACCCTATGAATAAAGCTTTTTCCTCATGGTACATTATGATATCTAGAAACCATAAGCACACTGCCTTCGACGAATTTATTTTTCCTTTTTAAATGACAGTAAATAGTGAGTCATTTGAGGCAATAGGATAAATACCTCTAAACGCTTTCGTGAAGAGATTAGGATATGTTTGTTTTCTCGACTAGGAGACGATCTTTTTACCCAGAAAGCTCTCAGGATGTCCGCTTTTACTTTGTAATTCAAAGATAACGTTGAGTCGCTCACTTAGGTAGTAGCAACAGGAGATTACCTTCAGGGGGAACTATTTTAGGGTAGCTTTAGGTAATGCGTCATAGAAGTAAGCAGCGTATGTCTATTGTGTCTAAATATATTAAACGTTGTAAAGCCGGTCAAATCGTAGTTCTCACATATGAGTTAGTTTTTTAAATAATGAGTGTACCGTACTAGCGTTTGTGCTCGAAACGTCATCAGTTAATATAACTGTACAACACTGTCTGATTTATCAAAATAAAATCTTATCCATAATGGAGTTATACTCTACCACAGTACCCAAGTTTTATACTTATATCAGCGTTTAGCTTGGTTTGCATACCTAGCTCATGCATGCGTGTGATACACATTTAAGGCTAATACGCTGTTTGATGAATTAGTCCGAGATACTTAAAGTCAGGCTTGAGCTCTATATCACTGTCATCAATTTTGCAACGGTCATAGGAATTAACAGCTTCACCTGACTTTCTCTTACATCGGAAACTGAAATTGACAGTCTGACATTTGGAAGGATTTAGTTTAAAAGCATTTTCTGACTACTAATAGAGAGCTGTTCATCTTAGTACAGTGTAGATGCGAATGAAAAGACACCGGAATAGTTAGTCCGCGCACTTGATATATTTCATTTCGTATGCGTATGTACATTAAGTTCGTCAAACAAAAATGCAATTAGTACTGGACGACTATAATGGAGAAAACGTTGTGATGCAAGACTGCAGCTGCATCTAAATTACTTCTACTGTGTTTATAGGCGAATCATTTGAGATCGTTAAAGGCTTTAAGTGAAGGTTGAAGATTAAGTAAGAGTAACTTTTCCATAGCTTTTACAAAAGGGGAGGTAATAGCAATAGGTCTAAATTTAAAACATGTTCCATTAGACGACTTAGGTACAGGTACAATTTTAAAGTCCTTCCAAACGGCTGGCACGACATTTCTGGAAAAAGATTCATTAAATATGTGAGAGGATATCTGTACATTTTTGAATGTGATGTTCTCTTTACATGATATGGTGAGGGAAAAAACAAAGATTACAACAGTCATAGAGATAAGTTGGTGTTTGCAGTTATGAAAGTGAAAACAAAGAATCAACAGGACCATAAATATAATAGAAATAATAAAAGTAAAACTTGAAGGTATATGAAGATGGATGGAGGAGATTGTTTATTTACTAGATGAAAAAAGGTTTGTATTGAAACCAAGGAAGCAACTCTCATTAACACTTGTGACACCAGAAACCTTGGTATTTGTGGGAGAATGTATGAATGCCTTGTTTACCGTACACACATCAAATGAATAGGATATACTGTTGTAATACTGGAGGTAATCAGATGCATAAAGGCGTAAGTTATTTAATATTCATAAAGTAGATATGCAAACACCGCAGTTGTTGATTATAGAAATGATGGATATT